TGGAGAATCCGAGGCTGGCACCTGCATGAAGTGTGCATGCCATCTGGCTGGCGGGGGCAGTCTTCCTGCCTCCTGAGTCTGAAGCTGGGTTCCCTGCTGCAGAGGGGACTACATGCCCACTGGAAGCCAAGTACCACTGCTGCCTTCCCAGGAGTTGGCTCTGAGGATGAAGGCACTCTAGCTGAGCTGATGGAAGCGCTCTGAACCAATACAGTAAGTGTGGTGTGGAGGCTCATGCCTTCAACCCCAGCGTTTGAGAAACTGAGTCAGGAGAACTGTCATGAGTCCAAGGCCAGAGCTTCATGATAGAGTGAGACCCTAGGAAACTAACCAACAGACACCAAAGAACAAATATAATGACAGATACAATAAAATCAGCTGCCCCTAGGGAGGTGGACGCATGTCAAAAGCTAGGCCTTGAACTGCCAGAGGGGACAGGGGGAAGAGCAAGCCACTGACTTGAGTTAAGTGTAGATGGCCAAATTATGTGTGCACAAAAATAATCAAAACTACCCTTCACGACAAAGCTCACACCATGAAAATTCAGCCTCTCTCCAGCCTTATCTGGTTTTCCAGTTCCCACACCCAGAGGCAGCTACTGTATTGATTTCTTGTGAATCCTTGTAAAGAAATCCATTCATATACAAACATGTGGCCTTCAGTTTGTTCTCTGGGATCAAAGAGAACACTCTGATAGACACCTGGGCCTGCCATTCCCCTTCGAGGCTTCTCAGCAGACTGAGAACAAATGGGGTTCCCGAAGTGCTCCCCTCCTCTCTTTTTGGGGAAGGGTTGTGCTGGGGAGCAGGGTCGGGGGGGGCAGGTCTCATGTAGCTGAGGTCTCAGATCACTGAGGATAACCTTGAACTTCTGATCCTCTTGTCGGCACTTCCCCAAATGTTTGGGATGACAGACCCCGGCCTGCAGTGCTGAGGACTGAATTCGGGGCTTCATGGGGGTGCCAGGCAAATACTGCCTGCTGGGCTACATCCCGGCCCCTCTAGCTAGCTACCCCTCTAGTCCCCAACCACACAGGGGCTCTCGATCTTTCTGTAACTGAGCTCTGTTCAGGCCTTTGATTTCAGTCCTTCAAATGAGCTATCATCCCTAAATGTCCTTCATTACCAACACCATCAGAGCCTTCCTTTGGAGTATTCTATGCAAATTCTTAAAATGTTGTATTAAAGCCGGGC